CTTTCTGTGACTGTGGACCATGAGAGACATATTTGCGTCAACCAATGAGCTGACTGTTCTCTGAGCAACAGATCGTCCAGATACCCCAGAATGCATATTTCTTGGGTTTCTAAAAGACCCAGAACTTGAGCCAGGGCTTTTCTTGAACACACAGGGGGCTGTAGCTAGCCCAAAAGTCAGAGCCACAAATGGAAAATGCTAGTCCTCTACTACAAAATCGCAAGAACCTCTGGTGTGCGGGAAATATCAGGACATAAAGATAGGGTGTAACTTATGTCCACAGAACCTAGGATGTCTCCCTGCTGTAGCATAGCCACTACTGAACCAATCAACTCAATACAGAATGAACGAACCCTGAGAGACTTGTGCAGACTTTTGAGGTCCAGAATCACTATTTGGCTTTGAGACTGTGAACAGATTGGAGTAAAAACTGAGTAATCTTTCGGACTCTTTTCAGAGGAGGGAACTCTTGAAAGGCCAATCTGCACCCCTAAGTGACCATAGAAAGGACCCAACTGTCTGAAATCACAATTTGCCAAGCTTCTAAAAAATCCAGTATACTCCTCCCCACTCAAACGTGTGGTGGCACCCCTTTATTGCAAAGAGGGCTTGGACTGACCTGGCCCTTTGTTTAACCTTGGCCCTCCTGGGATCAATAGCCTAGGAACGCTGAAAGGACCGTCTAGATGAGCTAAAACTGAAAGCAAGAGGAACGAATGTTCTGGACGCTTATCTTTATTCTTGAGAGGCAAAAGGGAACTCTTGGCCACAGAAATTTTTTTAAATGTTTTTAAACAGGCCAGCCCAGAATAAATGTTCCCCATGAAAAGGGAATCCTGCTAACAACTTTTTTGTACAGCATTTCTGTAGACCAGCATTTCAACCACAGAACCCTGCGCATATGAATGGACAATAGGGAGAACCAAGAGATTTGCTGAAAAGAGTCCTTTAAGGCATTTACTGTAAAATAGTGCCTGGAGCAACTCTGTTAACCCCTCAGCGGCTTCCCTTCAGCCTGTGCTGAACTCTTTTTAACCAATCACTTAATGCGATCCTTAAGACCTTGACATACCCCAATGGCTGGCATTGTCAGCTGCAAAGCGGATCCAGGCACAGAAAGAAAGGCTGTCAACAGAATTTCTAGTCTTTTGTCAGCTGGATCTTTGAAGACCTGAACATCAGCAACTGGGCATGTCAAAACCTTATTGAGATTTGCCACATCTACCAAAGGCAAGCTCCATTTCTTTATAAAACTTGTCCTACATTGTATAAGCTGAGCAAATCTCTTTGGTGGCACAGACACCCTATCTGGGTGACTTTAACTTCACATACAACATCTTTTTCAATAGAAGATGCAAAGGAAAACCTATAGACTCTGTGGAGGACATAATGATCCTAGAAGAATATATTACAGATGAGGACATTGCAGGTGGCAAATTGAAATCACACCAATCTCAGTGATGGAATTTACAAACATCCTCTGTGCCTGAACAACAGACAACTCCTGATTTTCCTAAGGCTCAGACTCCTCAGATGTGGAATCCACACCTAACCCTCTTTAAGTTCCACCTCTACTGCCTCCTCATCTATGTCCACCCATTCCTCCTCCCTAACCAGGTAGGGGACTGGTGAAGAGGATCACTCCCAATTCTTGCTGCCCTGCCCTATGGAGGCAAGCATACCAGAAATCTTTACCTTTAAGTCAGCCAAGGTGGATGCCAAGTCCTATTGTTTGACATAAGCCAAAGTCAATGCATCCAAAGCAGCTACAACATCAGACAGAACTAATGTTTCAGGCACACCTGTTGCTCCTGGTCTCTCAGGAGACACAAAATCAGCGGGGTTACTTTCAGTGTCCTCTAAACCTGACGGTGGTGCACATGCACCCTTCTCAGCTGTGATGTTTAAAAAAGTATGCAGATTTATTAACCTGATCCCTGGCTTCTGTCGGCACAACCATGCTACAAGCCCCATCCTTGCAGCCACTGCTCCCCAATTCTCCAACAGTCTAAGGTCCTATGCTTGATCACCCCTATTTTGTGCAGCAGTCAAGGGAAAAAATCTTTATCTGAGGGAAAGCATAAATCAGCCTGAATGAAGTCCAAGAAATTACCAGGGTATCCACTGCAAAGAATGTCTCTCTGCCAATTGTCTAGATTTGTAAAAGCAGATTTACCAACCCAATCCTCTGCTCCTGCAAGCAACTCTACACTGCTGGACCAGTTCCTGCACCCTCTTGGGGAGCGCTGCTTGCCAGAGAACCAGAGGGGATTGGGAAAGTAACACTGCTTTTCTGTCCACTAGAGTAAACAAGCAATTATTGCTTACAGTGCGGGCATGACCCTACTGCAAAGGAAAATTTTTAGGCTTCTTGGAGTAGAAATCATACATGTATCTTTTTGTTTTCCACATCCTAATATGCCTACCTTATGTATTCTCAGTTCTGACTAATGTGTATTTTATATATATATATATATATATATATATATATATATATATATATACACACACATACATGCAGTAGATACTGTATGTACTGTGCAAAAGTTTTAGGCAGGTGTGATGAAATGCTGTGAAGTAAGAAAGCTCTCAAAAATGTATATTTTTATCAATTTACAAAATGAGTGAACAGAAGAAAAATCTACATAAAATCAATATTTAGTGTGACTACCTTTTGGCTTCAAATCAGCATCCCAGACAGACTTGATGATGTGGAGATCAGGGGTCTGTGGGAGTCAAACCATCACTTCCAGGGCTACTTCTTTACACTGAAGATAGTTCTTAATGACATTAACTATATGTTTGAGGTCCTTGTCCTGCTACAGAATAAATTTGGGGCCAATCACATGCCTCCCTGATGGTATGGAGTTATGGGTAAGTATCTACCTGTATTTCTCAGCATTGAGGATACCACTGATTGGGCAACGTTGAGGACTGTAGACACAGTAATCGGCCAAAAAAATTAATGCAGCAGAGAAAAGACACATCATGCTTACTTCCTTTCGATGTCGGAGGATGTACTCTGAACCAAGGCTAAGAGACTCACCTATGCACAAAAACATAGGAATTGTGGTGCAGAAAACTGCCAGCAGAAAAATGTGAAATATTTGGCTGTAGCAGGGGGCAGTCTGTTCTCAGGGGAGTGGTACAATAATGTGAATCTGCAGGCAACAGTGAAGCATATGGAAGGTTCCTTGCAGTTTTAAGGCTGCATTTCTGCAAATGGAGTTAGAGATTGATCAGGTTCAAAGGTGTCTTCAATGCTGAGAAATACAGGCAGAAACGTATACCTCATGTCATACTATCAGGGAGGTGTGTGATTGGCCCCATATTTATTCTGCAGCAGGACAAAGATCCCAAACATACAGCCAATGTTATTAGGAACTATCTTCAGCGTAAAGAAGAACAAGGAGTCCTGAAAGTGATGGTTTGTCCCTCCACAGAGCCCTGATCTCAACAACATCAAGTATGTCTGGAATTACATAAAGAGACAGAGGGATTTGAGGCAACATCAATCCACAGATCTGTGGTTAGTTTTCTAAGATGTTTGGAACAACCTACCTGCCGAGTTTCTTCAAAAACTGTGCACAAGCACTGTGGGTACCTAAAAGAATTGGTACTGGTTTGAAGCTAAAGGGTAGTCACACCCAATATTGATTTTATATGGATTTCTTTTCTGTTCATTTGCTTTCAATTTTGTTAATTGCTAAAAATAAAACTATTAACACTTCTATTTCCGAAAGCATGCCTAATTTACAGCTTTTTTTCACTCCTACCTAAAACTGTTGCACAGTAGTATGTACATATATATATATATATATATATATATATATATATATATATATATATACATACACGCACACACACACACTCATGGCCAAAAAATATTGGCACCCCTGCATTTCAGTCAGATAATGCACCACTTTGCCCAGAAAATTGTTGCAATTACAAATGTTTAGGCATTCTCCTGTTTATTCTTTTGTTTGTATTAGTATGACACAAAAGAGTGGAGAAATAAACAACCAAATCTGACACATGCCTCGCAAAACTCCAAAAATTGACTGGACAAAATTATTGGTACCTTCAATTTTAATATTTGGTAGCGCACCCCTTGAAAAAAATAACTGAAGTCAATCGCTTCCTGTAACCATCAGTGGGTAAATTACGCCTCTCTATTGGAATTTTGGACCACTTTGTGCCAACTGCTCCTGGTCTCTCAGATTGGAAGGGTTCCTTTTACCAACTGCTGTTTTGAAATCTCTCCACAGGTGCTCTAAGGGATTGAGATCTGGGCTCACTGCTGGACAGTTCAGTGCTCTCCAGTGCTTTGTAACCATTTCTGGGTGCTTTTTGACATGTGCTTTGGGTCATTGTCCTGCTGCAAGACCCATTTCTTCTGACGGAGACCCAACTTTCTGACACTGGGTCCTACATTGCATCCTAGAATTCTTTGGTAATCTTCAGATTTCATGCCATGCACACAGTCAAGACATCCAGTGCTTAACCACTTCCAGACCGGACACTTTTATCCCCATCCTGACCAGGGCAATTTTCAGCTTTCAGCGCTATCACACTTTGCATGACAATTGCGCAGTCATGCAACACTGTACCCAAAGAAATTTTTTACCATTTTTTTGAGACAGATAAAGCTTTATTTTGGAGGTATTTATTCACTGCTGGGATTTTTATTTTTTTTGCTATGTAAATGAAATGTCCAAAAATTTTGAACAAAAGTGTTTTTTTTTTATAAAATTTTGCAAATAAATAATATTTCATCATAAATCTTTGCCAAAATGTATTCCGTTATCTTTTTAGTAAAAAAAAAAACAAATTAGTTTATAACCAAAAATTATAATTTTTAAACTTTTTTTTTTTTTTATTTTTATTTTTTTTTTTATATTATTTTTTATTTATTTTTTTTTTACATACTGTCACCCTAGCAGTACAGTGTCACCATGGTGACACTGTACTACTTGTGGGGGGTGATGAAGATTTTTTTTTTTTTTTACAATGATTGCTTTTACACCCATAAAGGCTGTAAAAGCAAACATTTCTCCTTCTCCCTGGCTGCATTCCTTGCAACCATTGAGAACTACTGTGTGAGCTGTGATTGGTCACAGCTTGTCACATGGTACAAGGCTGCTGTGAATAGCCTTGTACCATGTGACCTCTGTGATCATTCACAGATTTCACACGTAATAAGCAATGATGTCAGAAGTGACATCTTGCTTACTACTCTGTATGTATGAGGACACAGCGGGCACCGGATCGCGGTGCTGCGCGCTCCCAGGGAGTGCGCACAAGCAGGGTGCGGGGAGGCCGTTCATAAACGGCCACCCGACCCTGTACTGCCACCGTCCGGCTGTTTATATGCAACGGCCGGTCGGGAAGTGGTTAAAGCAGCAAAGCAACCCCAAAACATCAGTGAACCTCCACCATGTTTGACTAAATTCTTTTCTTTAACCACCTCTTGTCCGGCCCCATGTATGTAAACGGCTGGACGGTGGCAGTGCAGGGTTGGGTGGCCGTTTATAAATGGCCTCCCTGCACCCTGCTTGTGCGTGAAGCACCACGATCCGGTGCCCGCTGTGTCCTCCGACACAGTGGAACACCGATCGTCGAACGGGACCTCTGTGCGAGGTCCCGATCATGTGATCACTGATTGGCCAATCAGTGATCACATACAGAGTAGTAAGCAAGATGTCATTTCTGACATCATTGCTTATTACGTGTGAAATCTGTGAATGATCACAGAGGTCACATGGTACAAGGCTATTCACAGCAGCCTTGTACCATGTGACAAGCTGTGACCAATCACAGCTCACACAGTAGTTCTCAATGGCTGCAAGGAATGCAGCCAGGGAGAAGGAGAAATGTTTGCTTTTACAGCCTTTATGGGTGTAAAAACAATGTGTAAAAAAAAAAAAATCTTCATCACCCCCCACAAGTAGTACAGTGTCACCATGATGACACTGTACTGCTAGGGTGACAGTATGTAAAAAAACAAAAAAAACCCCTAAAACATAAATAAAAAAAAGTTAAAAAAAAATAAAAAAAATTAAAATATTTGGTTATAAACTAATTTGGGTTATTTTTTTTTTTTTACTAAAAAGATAACAGAATAAATTTTGGCCAAGATTTATGATGAAATACTATTTATTTGCAAAATTTTATAAGAAACACTTTTTTTCAAAATTTTTGGACTTTTTCATTTACATAGCAAAAAAAAATAAAAATCCCAGTGGTGAATAAATACCACCAAAATAAAGCTTTATCTGTCTCAAAAAAAATGCAAACAAATTCCTATGGGTTCAGTGTTGCATGACCGCGCAATTGTCATTCAAAGTGTGATAGCGCTGAAAGCTGAAAATTGGCCTGGACAGGAAGGGGGTAAAAGTGTCCGGACTGGAAGTGGTTAAAGGCCTCACTTATTTTTCTGAAAACAGTAGAATGATGGGCTTTACCAAAAAGCTGTAATTTAGTATAGTCTTTCCCCAGCACATTCTCCCAAAAGGATTTTGGCTTCAAGTAAGTTTTGGCAAACTCCAATCTGACTTTTTTATGTTTCTGTGTCAGCAGTGAGGTCCACCTGGGTCTCCTACCATAGTGTCCCTTTTCATTCAGATGGCGACGTATAGTTGTACCCTGTGCCTGAAGGCCAGCATGAATTTGTCTGGAAGTTGATCGAGGTTCTTTAGCCACCATACGAACAAGCCTTAGTTTCAATCTTTGATCAATTTTTCTTTCATCCACGTCCAGGGAGATTAGCTACAGTGCCATGTGCTGTAACATTCTTGACAATGTTACACACAGTGGACACAGGAACATTAAAGGATAAGTTCACTTTTTTGACAAAAATAATAAATGCACTTTTTTTTGCAGGTAACAAAATGTGCATTTATTATTTTTGTCTGCAGGAGCCTGGAAAGCACTGCACTAGCGATCAGATTGCTGGTGCCGTTCAGCTCTCCTGCAGACCTGTCAGAATACCTGTTTGCTGTACGGGATGTACGAGCAAGCAGATATTCTGACAGGAAGCTTCAATGAACAACCGCAGTGCTCCACAGTGCCACAGTAGTTAATTGAAAATTACAATCCCACAGCCGCTAAGGGTGTCAGGACTTGTAGGCACTTATTCACAGAACTCTGTGAATAAGTGATGCGGCTGTGTGGGCGGAACCCTACACAGCCGTGCTGTTTTCAAATCTGACAGTGCAGGGAAACTTCTCCCCGTACTATCGGAGGGAGGGGGGGGGGGGCGGCAGGCATGGCTGCAGCGGGTGGAACATGTAACTTATTCCCGAAGGTGAAGTTATCCTTCAAGATCTCTGGAGATGGACTTATAACCTTGAGATTATCCATGCTTTTTCACAATTTTTGTTCTCAAATACTCAAGACAATTCTTTGCTGTTCTTTCTCTTCTCCATGCTCCATGTGGCACACAGAGACACACAACAGAAAGCTTGAGTCAATTTTTCACCATTTTAACTGGTTGCTAGTGTGATTTCTATTTTGGCAGCACCTGTTGATACTGATTAACCACTTGACAACCGAGCTATAGTGCCCAGCAGTGCCGCCCATCAGTGCTGCCTGTCAGCGCCGCCTATCAGTGCCCATCATTGCTGCATATCAGTGCAGCATCATCAGTGCCCAGAGTTGCCCATCAGTGCAACCTCATCAATGCACATCAGTGAAGGAGAAAAATTACCTGTTTGAAAAACGTTAAAATAGTAACAAAGAAAAACTTTTTTTTTTTTGCTCTCTTTTTATTTATAGCACAAAAAAAACACACAGAGGCGATTAAGTACCACCAAAAGAAAGCTCTATTTGTGTGAAAAAAATGATACAAATTTCATATGGGTACAGTGTTGCATGACTGTGCAATTGTCATTCAAAATGCGACAGCGATGAAAGCTGAAAATTGGCCACGGCAGGAAGGGGGGTATAAGTGCCCAGTAGGCAATTGGTTAATTGATGTGGCTGATGTTACTCAGTTGGTCCAACCTCAGGAAAGATCCCGACTTTAAAGTAGGGATCTAACAGTGTCTGGAGCAGCACCTGGCTCAGCCTCTCAGAGAAGTGCTGAGAGCCTGAGCCAGTCGCTCCCTCCCCCTCCACAGCCCAGCACTCCAGCGAGCAGTGGGAAGGAGGGTGTTTCTATGTATGTATGTATTGCATGGGTTGTTACTGACATGTGGTCAAAACCTAATGTCAAAAGCACCTTCAAAAATATATTTACAGAGAAAAATGGCGATGTGTTTAATACTTTTTTTTACCCAAGATACATATATATGTGCTCAGCATAAATGAGTACACCCCAACAGGTTTGTCAGAAAACCTTTACTTTCCATTCAGAATTGACATTTTCTATGGGACACTATACTACAAAATACTCCCACAAATGTGGGCCATTGACTGCAAACAAGATTTGTTAATTTGCACACACAAAAAAGTATTTTTCCTAACAAATTCATTCAAAACCATGTTGCAAAAATTAATACACCCCAATGAAAGTCATAGGAGCAAAGCTAAATTTTAGATGAGAAAATTCTAATTCACATGAATTCAACTACTGGTGAGTCTAATTATTCATTAAACAGGTGTCCAGCAGACAGTTGATTATAAAAGGGTGTTACTTAAAGAAAACCCCATCCCATTTCATGCTGTCAGCAATGGCACCACATGGAAGAGAAATGACACAAGGCCTGAGAAAAAATAACTTCATTAAAAAAGAAAGGTGAAGGCTACAAGAAGATGAGCAAAGCTTTACTTCCAGTGCATCCAGAAAGTATTCACAGCGCTTAACTTTTGCCACATTTTGTTACTGTATGTTACAGCCTTATTCCAATTCATTTTTTTCCTCAACATTCTACAAACCATACCCCATAATGACAATGTGAAAGAAGTTAGTTTTTAATTCTTTGCAATTTATTACAAATAAAAAAAAAGTTAGTTTTTAATTCTTTGCAATTTATTACAAATAAAAAAACAAAAAAAGAACACCTGTACATAAGTATTCACAGCCTTTGCCATGACACTCAAAATTGAGCTCTGGTGCATCCTGTTCCCACTGATCATCCTTGAGATGTTTCTACAACTTGATTGGAGTCCACCTGTGGGAAATTCAGTTGACTGGACATGATTAGGAAAGACATAAACCTGTCTATACAAGGTCCCACAGTGAACAGTGTATATCAGAGCACAAACCAAGCCATGAAAACCAATGAAATTGTCCGTAGACCTCCGAGACAGGATTGTATCAAGGCACAGATCTGGGGAAGGGTACAGAAAAATTTCTGCAGCATTGAAGGTCCCAATGAGCACAGTGGCCTTCATCATCTGTAATTGGAAGCAGTTTGGAACCACCAGGAATCTTCCTAGAGCGGGCCGCCCGGCCAAAATGAGCTATCGAGGGGCCATAGCCAGGGAGGTACCAAGCACCCGATGGTCACTCTGAAAGAGCTCCAGCATTTCTCTGTGGAGAGAGAACCTTCCAGAAGAACAACCATCTCTGCAGCACTCCATCAATCAGGCCTGTATGGTAGAGTGGCTAGACGGAAGAGAAATGGCAGCCCGCCTGGAGTTTGCCAAAAGGCACCTGAGGGACTCTCAGACCATGAGAATCAAAGCTCTTTGGCCTGAATGCCACGCGTCATGTCTGGTGGAAACCAGGCACCACTCACCACCTGGCCAATGCCATCCCTACAGTAAAGCATGGTGGTGGCAGCATCATGCTGTAGGGATGAAAATTGCTGTGCACCAATGCTCCCCATCCAAGCTAATGGAGCTTGGGATGTACTGCAAAGAACAATAGGAGAAACTGCCCAAAAATAGGTGTGCCAAGCTTGTAGCATCATACTCAAAACAACTTGAGGCTATAATTGGTGCTAAAGGTGCTTCGACAAAGTATTCAGGAAATACTTATGTACATGTGGTTTTTCTTTTTGTTTTTTTTCTTTATAAATTGCAAAGATTTCAAAATGAACAACTTTCACAGTCATTATGGGGTATTGTTTGCAGAATGTTGAGGAATAAAGTTAATTGAATCCATTTTAGAATAAGGCTTTAACATAACAAAATGTGGCAAAAGTTAAGCGCTGTGATTACTTTCTGGATGCACTGTATCAGTCAGAATACTGTAGCAAGTGTGATACAGAAATTTAACAAAGATGGAACTGCAACCATCTCACAGAGATGTCCAGGCTCTCCATGGAAGTTAACACCTCGACAGGAGCGTCTTCTGATGAGAAGGGTTGAAGAAAATCACCATGCAAGTTCACTGCAGTTAGCTAAAGAAGTAGTAAGCCAAACTGGAGTGATTGTTTCCCATGACACAATATAGTGTACACTGCAGAGGAATGGCATGCATGGGTGTCGTCCACAAAGGAAGTCTATCCTAAAGTCCATGCACAAAAAAAGCCGCCTAGAATTTACCAGGGCCCATGCTGAAAAAGAAGAAGACTACTGGGACTCTGTACTCTGGAATGATGAGACCAAGATAAATGTTTATGGAACGGATGCCTTTGAAACTGTATGGCGTTGGAAAGGTGAGGAGTACAAAGTGAAATATGGTGAAATATGGTGGTGGTAGTGTCCTTCTGTGGGGCTGCTTGAGTGCTGCTGGTGTCAGGGAGCTGCATTTTATTGGTGGTATCATGAATTCACAGATGTACTGCTCTATATTGAAAGAGAAGATGCTACCATCACTCTGTGCCCTTGGTCGTCATGCAATCATCCAAAACACACATCCAAGGCCACCATTGCATTTCTGAAGAACAGGGATTCAGTGGCCAAGTATGTCTCCTTA